AAAAAAAAAAAAAAAAAAAAAAAAAAAAAAGATTTCATATTAAAAAGTAAAAAAATTAAATTAAATTAAAGACAAATTTAAGGTAAGAAGAATAAAAATATATCAAAGATGGAAATTATTGTTTTTTTAAAAGTTTAGGAATTAAAATAGAAAATTCTAATAACAAAAAACAGAGCAAAGCTAGACTACTCCTCAACTCAATGAAATTATATAAAAAAAAAATAAAATCAAATCAAGAAAAGAAAAACAATGAATCGCCTAATTATCATGTGGAATCAACGCGGAGCTGTACTTAATCACGTGAGGGCAAGTTCGTTCCTTAACTATATACAAGCGAAAGAAACAAAAGAGTTCTGTATTCAAATCCCTAAAAAGGAGAAAAGAAAGTCGGTCTTGTATGTCAGTAGTCTATGTATGGCAAAATAGACAATTGACCAGAGAAGAAAATAGATATATAATAAACAAATTTGCGGTAGATAGCGACCCTCGGAAAAAGAGAAAAGAAAAAGGAAAATATTAAGTTTAAACTCGGAACTCAAAGAACTTGTTCCTGAGTTTTTCGTTTCGTTTCAAAATATATTCTGATTTCACATCCGAAATGTTCTATTTCAGCATTTCAGCAATGTATGCAAGTATAGGTATCGATCTGTAAACGAGCAGCTTAAAACTAAAATTAACACAATGACGGAAACAATTTTTCAACCAAAAAATTTAATAGATCGAAACGCAGAATAAAGAACAAACAAAACGCGGAAGTTCGAGAAAGAATATGAGCATTTAAATCCAAACAAGAACAGTTACCGTATTCAGCACACAACTTCTCGCTCTGTTCGTTCAAGATCAACGAAGAAGATTTTCTGGACAAATCTCCAGGCTCCTAACCGACGCCATCGAATCGCGCATCCTACAGAAGCAACTTAGGTTTAGGAAAATGTGAAACAACAAGAAATTAACGAACAGACGAGCAAGAATCGGAAAAAACTCACAAAATAAAACCTCGAAAATCAGGGACGAGCAAGCGCAAGATGAAACAGAATCAGGTTTTTATAGGCGCAAACCCCGTGTCGAAGGAAATTTGGCTTTCACGAAAAATTTTCGAAACTTTCGCTACTAAGTGAAATACCTGAATTACCCTCTCAACCTTGTAATAGAGAAAATTATTGTGTCAAAACATTATTAGTTTCACTTTTTACCCTCCGTGCGATTATTAAATAAAACAAAATTTAAAAAATGTTTCATAAAGTAATAACATATAATACCTTTAATTTCATTAATTAATTCCTTAAACTTAATCTTAATGAATAATTACCATAACTAATATTCTTAAATACGAATAAAAAAAAATTCTAATGCATTTTTTTAAAAATATTTATCCATTTTAAACCGATGGAAAATTTATTAAAGGATTAGATTGAAATATATTAAGGTAGAGATGCATTTTAATAAAATTTAAAAAATCAATGCAATAATTTTAGGGTATTTAAAAAAAATAACAAAAAAATATTTTTTCAATTTAAATAAATTGAAATTCTGTTTTTAGTTTGTACATTAAAAAAATAATATTTATATTTTTAATAGACCATTTAAAATTTTCATTGATTATAATACACTAATTAATGAATTATATAAATACCACGTGGAAATTAATCAGATTAAACAATTTATAATCGTTAAAATTAATTAGCCAATTTTTAAGGGAAAATATAAAATTCAATGAAAATACATTATTTATTTCTTATTTTTAAATGATGTTTAAAAAATATAATTAAATTTTAAATGATTTTTTAGTAGATTAAATAAAAAGACAATTTAAAATATTCCAACGTGTTCAACTTTATCTAATATTAAAAAATATATACAATTTAATTAAAAATTTAAATTAAACTTTATGCAAATAAAATCCAACTTTGCAATCTATCTCAACTTTGCACGTTGTATTATCTCAATAAATAATAACATATATTATTTTATTGATTTATTATTTTATTAGACATAAATTTATAGATTAAATTAAACTTTTTTTTTAATTTAAAGTTCGGGGATCACCCAACATAAAATTAATCTAATCAAAAGTATGTTTAATTTTGAAGTTTTTATAATTAAGTCATCCATGTTCAACCTTGCCTCTGCTTGAGGTCAAGGTCTCTCAATGCAACGTCGCATCTCATCTTATCATCTTGATTCCTATCGATATGGTCCATATGTCTTGATGTCATCCCGAGCCTTGAGATATCGTCGGCCATCACAACTCGTTCGGTCATGCCATTGAGAAAGAGTCTGCGTGTCACTCATCTCATCGAGACTTCCCGAACATCCATCCATCTGGGTTCTTATCGAGGCATTGATCCTCCAGTGGCCATGCCGTGTCATTTACGGATACCGTACCGGATAACGGGTGTATGTAGCAATCTCCAACACGGGGGCTGGGGTGCAATACCAGCACACTTGTGTCGTCTGGTACTGCCTTTGAAAAACCCATTTCAAAGGAAGTCGCCCAAGACACTCGTCTCGGCACGCTCGCCCACGCTGTGACACACGTATGTGCCACAGGGTAGCTAACTTAGATCACAGGACCTAGGGTTGGTGGAGATCATTTCTTATAAGGGTGTGGAAACCTCTCTTTAGTAAACGTGTTTTAAAACCGTGAGGCCTTGGCAATACATAACGCGCCAAAGCGGGCCATATTTGCTAGCGGTGGCTTTGAACTGTTACGAATAGTTTCAGAACTAGACACCGAGCAGTGTACCAGCGAGAACGCTAGACCCTCAACAGAGATGGATTGTGAGTGTAACGACCTTAAATTTTCTACTTAAACTAAGGTCACTATTATACCTATAACATGAACATTTAAGGCGGAAATTGATTTATTGACTCCTTTGTCATAACTTTCACATTGAATTTGCAAGTTGCATTTATTATCTTGGAAATGAACTAATACAACGTAAATAAATGTTCGAGAATACAATTTGAATGGAAATATAATTCAACCTAAACTATACTACTAAATGTAAATATAACTCAACCTATTCTAACATATACTACTA